ATATATATAAAAGTGTCAGACCTTCCGGAACATTTTCAAAAGTTAAGTTGAAAAAGTTAATTTTTTGTGAAAAAGTTGTCATTTTAAATCCCCCCTTGTGGGCAGGTTAAGGGTTAAATTTATGAAAAAAATATAGCAAATGAAAGGTAATGATATTATACATCTATATAAAAAATAATTATATTGATATGTTTATTTTTAAAAAAGTTATGGCAGTTTTAAGTAAAAAAAATTGAAAAAATTTCGAAAATTAGCGATTTTTAAATTTGTAATTTTTTTGGAGGTTTCCCCCATTTACGGGGAACGAGGGAATTTTTTNGTGGAGGTTTCCCCCATTTACGGGGAACGAGGTAATTTTTTTCAATTTTTGAGGGTAATGTCTTCGACTAGATACAATTTGTAATCTTTTGACGTATCATTGAAAGAAATTGGTTCGGTGAGAGCTGAGAAAAAGTGGTAACAGACACAAAAAAAAAAAAAATAAAAAAATAAACACATCTTAGTAAAACCAATACCTTCTCAGCTTCGCATCGAAGCTAAAAGCTAAAAATAATTAAGCACAAAAAAAATAGTTTTAAATTAATGCTGGTTTTGATTATTAATATAACTTTTAGCTCAATTGGCAAATTTGACATTGACATCATAAAATAGAAAATTTTATGAGAATTAAAAAAATTGTACCGTTAAGATTAATATGCAGTCAGAAAGTGTTATAATTACTATTTATTGTAAATTTATCAGAAGAGCTCAATATTTTTTTGCATGTTTATCGTAATAGATAACTTAAATAGAAGTAATAATAATAATTTCCTAGTAACTTTGATTGTTTGATAAGATTTTGCAATTGAAATATTGAGAACTTAATTAATTTTAATGATTTATTTTAACTAAATGAACCAATCAAACCAAAATTGTTAAAAAGATTTACTCAATTGAGCGTATTATAAAATTTGATTATATTTGTAAAAATCCATTGTTAATTCAGGAAAAAAAACAATAAAGTTTTAGAAATGATTTATATAGCAACATGTTACAAAAAAATTTGTAATATTATAGTCTAGTAGTAGCACACACAAATAGAGTTAAAAAAATTATTCAATTACAAAGTAAAATGATTTAATTTTGTAGTTGATACCTATCATATCAAACTTCATTCGTTAATAAATATTTTGAAAACATTAGAAATTAATGATTTTAATTGTCTTTATGGAGACGATGTAATAACTAACTGTTTAATTGATAAATTAGAATTTTTTTTTCAATTTTTGAGNGTTGATAAATTAGAATTTTTTTTTCATTTTATGAGGGTAATATTTTCCACTAGATACGAATTGTAGTCATTTGACGTATCGTTGAAAAAGTAGGTCAAGTTAGAGAAGAGAAAATAAATGATAGTCACAAAAAATTATCTTCTCAGCTTTGCATCGAAGCTAAAACTTAAAATATAGTAAAATAATTGTAATACGAATAAGAAATTTCTTCTTGCAAGGGGCGACTAAAGTGATGGGATCCTTGATCTTTATTGAAGTTATTCAATCTAAATGAGATAAAAATCAAACGAGTTAAAAATTTATACTAACTTAAAAAGAATTAAGAAAAAATGCAAAACATTCATTGCCATACGCGGGTTAGAACCTGGTACCCCAAGCGTGTTAAACATAAGTTATTCCAACTCAGCAACCGTACGTCGCTGACGTAATGTAGAAATAATGGGCTATTGAAGCTAATTCAAATTTCAAAGTTATTTTTCTCGACTTAAAAGAAGCAAACAAATTTAAATGAGTTTAACTTTCTATACTATATTAATTTTAATTTATATAATATTTATGAAAATCTGTACTCCCCTTGTCAGGTATTTTAAAATAAAATAAAATACAAAACCCAGAATTTTAACACAAAAATAGCATATTTTTGAATATGGTAGTCATTTTCGCCATGAAGACAAATCCAGAGGTCAAATTTTTTTTTTCAGATTAAAGTATATTACATTAGCTTAAATTTAAGGTATATATAAAAGTGTCAGTCTTTCTGGAATACTTTCAAAAATTAAATTGAAAATATCATAGTAACAATACGCATGTTTAAAGTTTTGACCCCCCTTGTTAAAGGGGTATGATCCGATTTACAAAAAAAGCGTGTCAGATGAAAGGGGTATATAAAAATTTACTATAAAAAAATAATTATATTGATCCATACATTTTTCCAAAAGTTATATAAAATATAAATTAAATAATATAAAATCGAGAATTTTTTTCATGGAAATCGTACGTTTTTCATTAACTTTGATGTCCATTTTCACCACGAAGACAATTCCAGAGATCAAATTTTTTTTTTTCAGATCTTATTATATAATAGAACAAGGAAAAAAACGCTTTTCTGGGAAAATTACTTAGCGTGCTCGGATTTTCAAAATTGTTTTTTTCGACGAAAGTACTCGGTCACCAGACTCCGGGAAAATTATTGGCGAAGGTCGGAAAATTTTTGCCGCTCGCGAGCGAGCGTTTTAAAATTTCGACCGTTTTTGAGAAAAACGCTCACTGACGCCAGCGTTTTACGACTTAAGGTTTGAAATTTTCATCAGACCCGCCCAATGACATTCCTGAGATGTGATAAAAAAATCAATTCAATCCGTTCATTTTTCACCGTTTTACGAGCTTTTTTTTTTTCATGCGTTCGAGACGCCAGGGCGCGCCGTCCGAAATTCTTGCGACACTTTACGACATGAAAACGATTTTTTTTACGATTCGCAATCATACCACGGCGTTCTGTACGTGCCGAGGAAGCGCCAAAAATCGGAAAATCCCAGATCCGACAAAAACTCTGGCCGCAACGAGCGTTTGAAATTCATCAAATTTTAAGTCCACGCGCATGGTTGTATTATGCGCAGTGATTCATTTCTGCTGATACGTATTATGAACCTTAATTATACAGAGTGATCCATTTAACATTGACCAGCAAATATCTTATCTTATCTAATATGTGTCTTTACGAGCCATCATAACCGCTGCAATTAACTACCTGTATTACAAGTCTACCCGTTTTATACATATATATAGGTAAAAAAAATCAAAACTTTAAAGTGAAATAACATGCAAACTAATCGACTTAAATGAAAAATTCAAACGCTAAAAATTATAAAAAAAAAAACTCTATCAATATATCTAACTAAAAATATATGTTTCCATTTGAAAAAAAAAAGTTGGTACCCTTTTAAGGCATAAGGGATGAACCTAAAAATTATCTGATCATGGATAAATGTAGAGTTTTATGTAACTAAAATAATTAAAAAAAAAAATTATTAAAATAATAAATAGTTTTTGAGATATTTGCTGGTCAATGTTAAATGGATCACCCTGTAT